CACAGCGCCCAAAAAGCAGACTACCGAAGCGTCCTGTTTTGCGACCAAGTTTTCAGGACAGAAAAAAATAAAACAAAAAATACATAAAAAACCTCCACTCTCCAGCGGCTTAAATCCAAAAATTGTATTATACAACGAAAAATGTAAAACGCCGACACATAATACAGCATGGCTACGTCGTACCGCCGCGTATCGGTACCTTTGCCTAACATACCATTACAAAAATACCTTTGCCTAACATATCATTACAAAAATTCGTTTATTGTGAATATGTACCTAAAACTTTATTCTTGGGCTCAATAAACAACTTTAAATAAAAAAAAAATCTTTAAATCTCAGTCTACAGTGTCTATTATTCTTCTCAGTTCTATTCTGGAAATAGTACTTTATTCTAAAATCGTTATTTTTACGTATTTATTTATTTTCCAAATCACTTATCACACACTTTGAATAAAAAATGCAATTGCTGTATAGGCCATTAATAAAGTTAATCATACCTTAATACTTGTGGCGGCACGTGCCACGGAACTTTCCAACGGCTTCGTAATACAAAGCGCTACGCCGTTGTGACATCAATCACATCTCAACCTACATCAGTGATAAGACATCGACCGCCGACCTCCGGACACTTTTGGTCACATCACCACCTTATCATCATAGCATACTACCACCCAAGTACCAACTTTACGTGACACTGTCAAAGCGCAACACCGACGTGCCATCGATATCTTCACTCTTCTTCCGCCGAATTCTCGGAAGAGCATACACGCGCCAACCGCTGCGCATCTAATGAACGCACGCTAGTGGGGATATTGATGGGCAACGAAGGGAAGGGTCCGATACACCTGGCACAATATTCGAGCAAGTTCATATAATTTAAAAGTTTCCCCTAATTTACGCGTTCAACCAGAATCTCGATAAGTGTTCGCCAAGACAGTTTCAACATCTGGACTACGTCGGACAGGATGTCCGATATATAAAAGGGGTAGAGAACAGCGTAGCCGATACTCTATCTCGCATCGAAGCGATCGGGAAATCAGTAGACCACTATACGCTAGCTGCAGCGCAAGAGAAGGATAGCGTGCTGCGCGAAATTATCAACGCTGACTCGAGCGCGCTGCATTTGAAAAGGGTACGATTTTCCGATCAAGGCGCCGAGTTATATTGCGATATTACAGCCGAGACCGTGCGACCGTACGTATCGGAACCGTTACGGCGCAACGTATTCCAATCGCTACATGGACTTTCCCATCCAGGGATGCGTGCTACGCAAAAATTGGTA